TGACAGGTTTAGCTGCACCTGAAATACGATCTCATCTTACTGCGATAATATGTAGGGGAGTTTATACAGTACCTTGGACAAAATTGCTGGACATATATCCTCATAATAGACTTAAATTGTCCAAGTGATTAATATTAATAAGTTGATAGGTTTTCATCTCAGTAAATCAGTAAATGATTTTAATCCTTCGACCTGTATCAGGTTCATGTTTCTACATGAAGTACCGAATCACTTATAATGATGTTGCTAGATTGATGGTTTTTCTTCTCCATGTATGATGTGTTTATTTGACCATGTACACATTTTTGAGAAGCTGCTTGTAGTAAACTGAAGATTGTCCATCAGCTGATGTCCATGAACGTTTCATGTAGACTCAGGGTTCTGTGCAGTATTGCATCATGAAATATAAAACTGGGTTAAGCTGCGGAGTGATTGGTTGCCAGAACTTTAACATGTAGCAGGCCCCTAATTCCTTGTTTCCACAGATAAGTAGCCAGTAGCCAAGTAGCCAGGATGTGTACCTCTGAAGCTTAACGAGCAACGAGCTACTCAGTCACGGTGGGTCTGTCCCCATCCTCTGCCTTCATCAACCCTCCTAACCTCCTAACAAGGGGAAATCTGTGCCGTGCATTAACTGTCTGTATGCCAGGGATCTCCTGCTCCTGCGCGATGCCGATCATCGTTCTAGCCAGTCAGGCGTAAATAGCCAAAGTCCCTCCATCAATGATTCATGCCTAGTGCTGTAAGTATCCCAGTTGAAACCGACAATGATCTATAGACGGAAATCAATTTTGCAATTGCCGATCCTCATGCCCCCAGTGGCTAATTGGATTGTGGGGTGACTACATCAGTGACCCCTACCGGCACAAACTGTGTACAGGATTTGACAAGACGGGGATTATGTGACATCATACTGCGGGTCAGACGGACACATTTCTGTCTGATTCGCCAGCGGCAATTAGTGTAATTTGGTGTAGATTGGAGTGATGGTGTAATATACTACATTGTTGTATTAGTGACCCAGACAGGTCGCGGTAGTTACAACATCGTGATGTAGCACTCTACCGTCACACCGTGGTGTTAACTTGGTGTAGATTGGAGTGAGTAATATACTACATTGTTGTATTAGTGACCCAGACAGGTCGACGTAGTTACAACATCGTGGGACAACATTGTGATGTAGCACTCTACCGTCACACCGTGGTGTTAACTTGGTGTAGATTGGAGTGATGGTGTAATATACTACATTGTTGTATTAGTGACCCACACAGGTCAACGTAGTTACAACATCGTGGGACAACATCGTGATGTAGCACTCTACCGTCACACCGTGGTGTTAACTTGGTGTAGATTGGAGTGATGGTGTAATATACTACATTGTTGTATTAGTGACCCACACAGGTCGACGTAGTTACAACATCGTGGGACAACATCGTGATGTAGCACTCTACCGTCACACCGTGGTGTTAACTTGGTGTAGATTGGAGTGATGGTGTAATATACTACATTGTTGTATTAGTGACCCACACAGGTCGACGTAGTTACATTGTGGGACAACATCGTGATGTAGCACTCTACTGTCACACCGTGGTGTTAACTTGGACCTCAACTGTTTCACTGAAGTTCAGAACTTCATGTAATATCATGGTAACAGGAAGGATATCAAACTTTAATGTTTACGACTCCAATTTTCTCATTGGCAAAGTGATTGAAAGTTGGAAGTTATTTTTGAACATATGAATTGATAATGATGACTATTAACATTTCTAAACTGATCGTACCAGTCCATGAAGCTTTAAACTCCAATTCTAGTACAGTTAGGGTTAATATTATATTTTATATGTTTTATCATATTGGTATTATTTCGTTCCTGGTGGTGGGTCTGCAGAAGCTGTGATTGGCTATATTTGTCTGCAGAAGCTGTGATTGGCTATATTTGTCTGCAGAAGCTATGATTGGCTATATTTGTCTGCAGAAGCTGTGATTGGCTATATTTGTCTGCAGAAGCTATGATTGGCTATATTTGTCTGCAGAAGCTATGATTGGCTATATTTGTCTGCAGAAGCTATGATTGGCTATATTTGTCTGCAGAAGCTATGATTGGCTATATTTGTCTGCAGAAGCTATGATTGGCTATATTTGTCTGCAGAAGCTGTGATTGGCTATATTTGTCTGCTGTAGTGCATGAGGAGCAGCAGCATTCATTTCCCAGAGTGGGCTTCAGTCACAAGGTGATCTCTAGAGGAAACGCTGGTGTCACAGGCATCTCATGTCCTCCCACTGATGTACCACTATACGCTAGACACCTGTCAGCTGTGCATAGTTTTTAGGCACCAAATCAACACCAATAGAATTAGATTATTACCCTGGTCACTGGAAGAATATGTTCTTGATCTTGATTCTTTGCTTCCTTGGGAATACACAACTCAAGCTGCCTGTGTGGCCATGCTTCAAACATCCTACTGGGTACCCAGGCACTGCTCCTTAGGGAATACACAACCCAAGCTGCCTGTGAGGCTACACTACAAACATCCTACCGGGTACCCAGTCACTGCTCCCTAGGGAGTACACAACTCAAGCTGCCTGTGAGGCCACACTACAAACATCCTACCGAGTACCCAGTCACTGCTGGATGAACAAAGGCATACTACCAAGAATGTCACTTGGTCTTTCATGTTCTTCAGTGAGGGGCAGGATGTAGGGCCTGGAAGCTCTCAGAATAAAAGCTACCATAACTGGTGCCACATCCACTACTCCTTCAGGTCTGAAGGTCGACCTGTACACAGGAGCAGGTGCTGCCATCATCAGCTACACCCCCTTCAGTTCCATGCTTGCTGTCTCTCTGGTACTGTAGTAGGTTGACAGTATGTTGGTGACAGACCCCAGTGGAGATCACCAGTATGGCTGCCTCCTTTGGTTGTTTCTTATAAATTCATGTGAAGGGTTTTGGTTGGCGTGATAACCTTACAGTGTTCATCAGACAGCACTTGTTAGTAGTCTCTGGTATCTTGGCCATAAATGATGGGTTGAACAGTGAAGCACTTGTTACAAATAGCGCAGCATAATAATCTTAGGGAGTGGGGAACATTTCTAGATAGTGATGGCATGAAAATACTAGAGAATTCATAGAATTTAATTTAGATGATAGTCTTTAGAATGGGTTTGTAGTTATCTACGTTAAGTGATGGATATGGATGTGATAGATGACAAATTTATACATGTTGTGTCAGTTCTGCGTTATCTCAAATTACGGTTTCAGAGGAACCAGAGGTACCATTAGGTACTGGCTGGTCTCCACGCACTTCAGGTGAAGAGGGAGGGAAAGGTTGGCTGGGTGCTCTCTGGTGAACGTTTTACTGTTGAGGTGGTAGTAGTAGTGACAGCATGTTTAGCTGTTTGTGTTCATAGGAGAACAATGTTTTCGAATCTTGATGCTCCAATGTGGCTGTATAGTACCCAGGTGGATATGTCAGTAGGATCTGTGGCTGTATAGTACCCAGGTGGATATGTCAGTAGGATCTGTGGCTGTATAGTACCCAGGTGGATATGTCAGTAGGATCTGTGGCTGTATAGTACCCAGGTGGATATGTCAGTAGGATCTGTGGCTGTATAGTACCCAGGTGGATATGTCAGTAGGATCTGTGGCTGTATAGTACCCAGGTGGATATGTCAGTAGGATCTGTGGCTGTATAGTACCCAGGTGGATATGTCAGTAGGATCTGTGGGTGAGGAGGATGTTCTTCCTGGTGCAGCTGCACATCTTGTGTAACAATTAAGATAGATTGCTGGAATATCCTCTCATTATTGACTTATTGACATGGACAGTATTGGTAAAAAGTTGCACTTATCCTATCCTAACACCCCCACCCCCACCTCCACCTCCATATCCACCCCGATATCCCTCCCCACTGCTGATATTCTCCCCCACCCCTCATATCCTCACCCAAAACCTGATATCCTCCTTTTTTCACAGCACTAGTAGAAAAAAAAGCACCCCTAGGAACGTGCCCCCTCTCCAAGAATTTCTCAATGCCTGCCCCTCACTATGAGATAAAGAGATAAAAGAGAGATAAAATATTTATTGTGCAAACGTTCCATACAGAAACAGTAACAATATTCTATAAACTACATAAACAAGATATATAATGAATCACATATATATGATGAGCAACAAAACATATAATAATACAGATGTGTATAATAATAATAATGGCCTAGGACAATCAGATGTATATTTGTTTAAAGTTGTACATGTGGTGCCAGTTCTGACTGTATGGACTGAAATTTAGGGCAAAGGAAGAGGCTGTCAAACTGACGCTCTAAACTGCTACTTTTCTGCCACTTAGTCCCCCTGCCGAGTTCCAACAGACCAGTTCTCTCTAACCACAATGTCCGTTATGTGATATATGTCAAAACATGGTGTGTCTGCAATGTCTGACTTTTGATCCCTTGTAATATTTCACTTTCCATACTTGGGAAGGCAGGTCATGTGGAGTACATCGGAAACCTTGGGGGCAGCAACTCTGATATATCTGCACGCACTGACGTGCACCCTAAACAACAATCCGTTTCACATTTCTGTTTCAAATAAATGTCAGGCTACTTAACTGTGCATGGGGATCTACTTTACTATTTTTTTTAATTATATATTTCATTTTTCACTCCGGCTCTTAAAGGCCCACTGCAGGTTGGAAAAAGTAGGTGTTTGTAGTTTTTGTATATTTGGAATTGTTGCAGTTACCATAGTTTCATCAAGATAATTGTAGTTATTATGCATTTTGTACTTTTCAGCGCACTGAGATAAAAGTTCTATGATAGAATACTCTCGATGAATAATGAATGGCTGTTACGGAAGGGAAATGTCCCTACCTTGGGTGTACTGGTGTTCTGTATGGTCCGTTACCAGAAAATGTTAGTGTTATCAGTCATCAGGCCCCACTGTGTTTCTACAGTGTATAACTGTGTTTCTACAGTGTATAACTGTGTTTTGTGTTTTACAGAGAGGATACTTGATATACTGGAGGAGGCCCAGAACCGGACCGCAGTCATCCTCACCCGTGTCCACAACATCCCGTGGAATGAGCACCACGGTACAGTCAGCGACTTCTTCCTGGACATGGAGCAGTATGCCCGCCGCCAGCACGTCAACCTCCAGGACTCGGTCCAGACCTTCTTCACCGAACTGTTCCCATCTGTCTTCTACTTCATCCTCAGTGACCCCACCGTCATACGCTACGACGACCACTACCGCAGCTGTTTGTTGCAGGCTGAAGAAGATGTCCAGCCTTTCGGCAACATCCCTAAACATCTTGCCCACAAGATTGTCCAAGCTTTCCAAAGAGCACGGGCATTTGTCAATGCCTTGTCTGTGGTCACAGAAGCCATTAATTCCACGGATCATATCAAGTTTGATTACAACTGTCTAGAAGCTGCAACAAAGTTGCAATACTGCTCACATTGTCAAGGATATGTCGACGCAAAGCCTTGCCATGGCTTCTGTTTGAATGTTATTGGAGGCTGTCTGGCAACTGAGTCTGAAATAAGCCCGGCTTGGGATGATCTTATATCTGCAGTCAGAACTCTCACCAACGGCATGAAGGAAACATTCAGTCTGGAAGTAGTTTTAAGTGGTATTCATGAACAGATTTCTGAAGGAATACTTCAAGCAATGGATGATGGACCAAGGATTTACAATAAGGTAATAAACTATTCTTTGTATTTTGTGAAAAACTTTTATGTATTAGATCTGGCTATGGTTTTAGGCCATGTTTCTGTCAGGATACATAGAATAAAGTTTCCGAAGGACCGGTAAGTATAAAGATTGAATGGTCACATATTACCTGGATGTTTCTGGCACATTCTGGCAAGAATGGTGCTCATGCTATCGACCTTAGGTTTGCACTGTTATGTTCAGGCCATCATGATGTAGGCGGATTATTGCTGGTTAGGCTGCAAAATAGCAATTGTTCAAGGATGCTACTATTGTTGAATTGTATTTTCTTTAAGAAAAATTTGCGACATTAAGGTGAAGATTGTAAGATGGAATGGGGCTAGAGCTGTTAATTGGCTGTAGCGGATCTCTCCACAGAATGTAGGAAGTCTTCTATTACCTAAACATTGTCGTCCAATTTAATCTTGACATTCTCCTTACTTGAATCAATAATGGTCCCGATTACAGCCTCAACACCAGGATGATACGCTAGACGCGGATGCTTCAGTCTCGTCTGCTGCTGCTGCTGCAACACTTGACAAGAATAAGTTATTTATATCTTATGAACAGATAGTCAGCTATATCACAGCCAAATATTGTTTGCAACAAGCAGTGTTTTGTTGGTTACCCCGATGTTTGAGTGTAGTGTACCCCTGGTCGGCTCCAGTAGTGGGTGCAAGGAGCACAACAGTTCTCTAATAGCGGAGAGTTTCAGACCTGTTTTTAATCTGAGATGTGTATTAGATCTTAGGAGGAAGCATTACTAAACACATCTAAACACTGTTGTGTGTGGTTTGTGATTAGATTGAAGTTGGAGCCAGACCTTCTAATCTTTTTCTTTTGTTGTTATTGTAAGGTCCGTTTGTAACAATCATCATATTTCTTGCCATCAAAGGCTGGTGGTTAATTGAATCGTGTTTCATGTAAAGTCCCACGGAACAAAAACCTCCATCTTGTACATTGGAGAAGAAGGTTGAGGACTGTTTGAAGCCTGCGTCTGTGGACTATCCAGTCATGCCACTCTCTGGCTGTTAGAACAGCCGCGCTGGAGTAAAATACTTTGTCCAGGGAATAATAGGCTATTTACAGAATCACCACAACAAAATAACAGATCTCCATTAATTATTATTGTCTGGAATAAAAAAGTAAATTTTGTGAATTGATCAGTCTTGAAAGGCCACAGTTCAATTGAGTTAGTGTTTGGGAAATGTATTCCGCCTACCTTTACATTATTGATCACTGATTGGGGTAATCAGTGATCATGTCAAGTCTACCGTCGCCACGGTGGGGCCAACAGCCAAATGCCTGGACGCAGCTCATGGGACCGATTTCTACTGAGTTAACTTCATGTTTGTAATTGCATGAAGGTCGTCTCTGATCACACCTGACCATCAGAGCTGGGTCATCCTCGACTGCAGAGTGTATCGGTACATAAGGGTGAAATTGGCTCAGTCCATTTTGATAGAGATTCTTTCGCCTATATGGCAAATTCAGAGGAGGATCAGGAAGAGGCAGGACACCCAGGTTCCCGCGAATTATAGACGCTGAAACACAGGTTCGAACCACTGAGTCTTCCACCCCCAGCCGCTCCAGTACAACCATCGCTAAGTGGGTGGACGCCTAACCACACACTGGGAATACTGCAAGATCCTTACGCCTCCAACATTATTCAAATACTGATTTCAGATCCCTACAGGATAAGCCTCGCCGACAATCAAACCCCCCAAGTCTCGATTTACAAGCTTAACAACTACCAAAGATAAAAGAGGCTGTCTCATCACTCCTATCCAAACAGCCATAGAAGTAATAGATCAAGCAAAGAATCCAGGTTTCTACTCCCAGCTCTTCCTAGTTCCCAAGAAAAACTCCACGGAGAAATACAGACTCATTCCAAGTACAACATGAGCTTTTCAACAAGAACTATCTACGAAACCACCGGGTTTCAAGATGTCAGTTACGCAGATGATTCGCCATTCCTATGGACTAAGCATGGGCAGCATAGATCTACAGGATGCCTACTTGCACATCCCCATTCATCCCCGATTCCAGGAAATACCCACGATTTATGGAAAGTACTCCCATTCGAATATCATCAGCCCCATATTCACGAGGATAACGAACCGACATCACCCCTACATCGCCATGGGCTACGAAAGCGCTTTACTCGACGACGGGATACAAGTAGATCAAGATCCACTGCGCCTCCAAACTACAGTTAAATTACATCATAAAGCTACTAACACAACGAAGCGGCAAACTTACGCTTGTGTCGGACCTAGTACCTGACCTACAGTTCCTAGGTATTCGATCATCGGGCTAAATGCAACTCTATTATGGTACCAGAAGACCATGGCTCAAGATACAACAATAGACCATTCCACCAGCTCTATCAGTGGCAGAGCCTACTAGGTCTTCACATCGTTTCCAAGACATGACTGTCACAGGTAGATTGGCAGTTACGCCCCTACAGGTCAACGACATCTCAACGGTATGTACAAATCCATTCAGTCTAACAAACATTCTAGACCACATCTACTAAGTGGTGGACCAAGAAATTCCATCGTCTGCGAAGGGATTTGTTTAGCAGAGCAGGAATACAAAACCCATCTGTGTAGACGCTGTTACTCCAAGCGTTGGGGAGCCTATCTCACCAAATCAATATCGATATCAGGGTTATGGAATCAGCAAGAATGCAAACCCAGATGTTTGTGCCCAGAAATGAAAGCTGTAATCAACGCTATTCTACATTACAATATTTCCAAATGCCACGATCCATACAAGCAGACAATTCGACAGTGTATGCTTCTATTATAAACAAAGGCGTTCAACGAGATCGATGAACCTTTTGTCCTACCAATACAAGATCTAAATCTACATAAGGTTAAAGCAGCGTACATTCCCCGAGCTGTAAAATATACTACAGAATCCCAGACCCCCAAGTTGCGCAACGGATTTAAGTCTAGTGGGAAGGCCTCACGCGTACGGCTTCCTCAGCCAGCAATAATAATACCTCAAGTATTACAGAAAAACGGTGTTAGAACAGCAGCTGGAGTAAAATAATTTCATGAGTGTATTGAGTCAGTTGTCTTTATTAGAATATAAGGTTTTAATAAGAAATAATGAAATTTGCTTTGCTGAATTTGAAATTAGTTTTAAAGTATATTTGTATCTGAATCTATAAAATTGCTTTGTTGAGAAATATTTATTTTTAGAGAGGTCAGAATATCTTTTCAGGAATATGAGAGTGATCCACCCACACGATCTGGTCTTACATTAAAAGACTGACATCAATGTTCTGTATATATTATTAGTCGCTGATCCTGCCTGTACAGTGCGGTCACTCCTTGCTACATCCCTCCTTCCCTTGCTACATCCCTCCTTCCCTTGCTACATCCCTCCTTCCCTTGCTACATCCCTCCTTCCCTTGCTACATCCCTCCTTCCCTTGCTACATCCCTACAGAACTCCATCCCAACATCCCTACAGCATAGCAGGATGGAAACCAACATCCAGTAATTACCGACCGCAAATTGACTCACTACAGTTGGCGTGTTCATTAGGTTGTCTATCAATGTTTCTGGTTGTGTGTTGCTAGACGTAGTTGTTCCCACCTACCTGTTCCCACCAACCTGTTCCCACCTACCTGTTCCCACCCACATGTTCCCACCTACCTGTTCCCACCCACATGTTCCCACCCACCTGTTCCCACCTACCTGTTCCCACCTGTTCACCACCCAACCTGTTCCCACCCACCACCCACCTGTTCCCACCCACATGTTCCACCCACCACCCACCTGTTCCCACCCACATGTTCCCACCTACCTGTTCCCACCCACATGTTCCCACCTACCTGTTCTCACCCACGTGTTCCCATCTACCTGTTCCCACCCACCACCCACCTGTTCCCACCCACCTGTTCCTCAGTCACCTGGCAGCACTGACATACAGAAATAGATGGCAGCATCAATATCCCTGGTATCAGATGGTCCGTACTGGCTCAACAGGAGCTGGTCATGCTGCAGCTTATACAAGTTGTATAACACGTTATTTGTGATGTGAGCATCATCTGCATAGATATGCATCAGGTTTCCACGAAAACTAGTGTTTGCATTTGACTTTATACAATGATTTCAGTACATAGAGGTACATTGTGTTGCCTTGTGAAGAAACATCTCTGTGAAAATGTTAGTAAGTTCAATGTAATGTTGACTAATAGACCATGAGGTTGTGTTTGCCATGAAGTGATGTTGTAATGTTGACTGATAGTGTTTCCATGAGGTTGTGTTTGCCATGAAGTGATGTTGTAATGTTGACTGATAGTGTTTCCATGAGGTTGTGTTTGCCATAAAGTGATGTTGTAATGCTGACTGATAGTGTTTCCATGAGGTTGTGTTTGCCATGAAGTGATGTTGTAATGTTGACTGATAGAGAGTGTTTCCATGAGGTTGTGTTTGCCGCAAAGTGATGTTGTTACTGAAAGAGAGTGTTTCCATGAGATTGTGTTTCCATGAGGTTGTGTTTGCCAGAGTGATTTGTAATGTTGACTGATAGAGATCCATGAGAGTGTTTCCATGAGATTGTGTTTGCCATGAGGGTTTGTGTTTGCCACTTAAAGTGATGTTGTTACTGAAAGAGAGTGTTTCCATGAGATTGTGTTTGCCAACAAGTGATGCAGATGTTGACTGATTGAGAGTGTTTCCATGAGGTTGTGTTTGCCGCAAAGTGATGTTGTTACTGAAAGAGAGTGTTTCAATTGTTGTCCCAACTGTGGTCCCAACTGTTCTCCCAATTGTATACATGACTATTAATCAACAAGCATATGTGCTTCTATCAGGATCATAACATTCAAATACGTTTATGACAAGATATTTTTCTCGATGAGTTAATCATGTACAAATTTCTATGTAAATCTCAGTGGGAATTAAACATAAAATACACAGTAATTATTCAGCATTTTTGCATAATGTCAAACTTACAAGATGATTTGATGGAGCAAGTTAGAAAACAAGATAAAAAGACCAAGCTTGCCATCACAGATCCGTTTGACAGTGTTCTTGTCACTAGTGATGTGGAATACCTTCCTCATCAGAAAGACTCCTCCAGGATGATGCTTGATGCACCATACTGCATCTGATGGATGGGCCACGCCCGTACACATTTCCATTTTGTCAGCAGAGTGTGGTAATAGTTTCACAGGAATGTAATTATGGAAGTATCTCTCCGACTTCCTGACAGCTTGCTCAGTGTGCTATGTACCAGCGGTTGTATCACAGAGGGTGAAATGGAGCCACCAGGGCACTAGTCGGTGTGGGGTTATCACTTCCTACAGTAAATATTTTCATTAACTACACTCTTACATAACAAATGTGACTTCTTTGACAAAGTTCCTGTGTAAACATTATCTGATTGAAGTAATTGATATGACCCTGTGGTATGGCTATTGGTTGTCATCTTGATTGAAACATTCTACCTGGCAACACAGCCGTCAGGGTGGTTGTGGAGGCAAACGTTTGCACCAAACTCTGTTCTTACTGGAAAGGATTGACTTGGAATGCATCTCTGTCCTTGAACTGTCTTATCCCGGTAACGAATTGTAGTGCTTTCCTGCAAATTTTGTGAAAAAGAACACTGGATTTGAAATAAGATTATTCTCTCCTGTCAGAATGAGATGTGTGTTGGTGATTTGAAAGTTAGTTGAGGTGGCAGGGAGACAGTTATATCAGTTTCACCCAGGAGATAATCTGCATGTGACATGGCAGCTTGGTGGACTGCTGTCATAGACGTCATACATTTAATATCCAACAGTCACATTATCTGTATAGTATTTATACTCATTGTTCAGAATCAAAGATGAAATGCAAATGTTCCCTCATGTTGGGTATAATTATGGATGTGGGGGAAATCCATACAGTCAAGTGTAGTGATTTACTGCTGCTGCTGCTGTATGATGATGATGATGATGATGATGATAATGATGATTACAGTGATGGTACAATGTTTTGGTGATGTTTGGTTTATAAATCCAGCAACAGCTATGGGGTAAGACAAGAAGGTGCCGACAAAGTCCTGCTGCTCAAGGTTTTACTGCCATGTTGTTTCAGGTGATGGAGAACTGCCAGAACCTGACCACCAGATCTGTTCCAAAGGATAATGTAAAGAGGAGCTACGTCATGTCCAAGCCCAAATCCCGGCGGAGACCAGCCCCAACTTCCAGCCTGATGGAGCAGCTGGAGACTGTCCTCAAGAAACTCATGGACTCGCGTGGAATCTACAATCGCCTTTCCAACGAAATCTGTGGTCAAGGCATCATCTATGAACAGGATATGTCAAGCAGCAAGTGCTGGAATGGAACTCACATTGCACAGTAAGTTTTACCTTCTTCATTACTGTTACCATGGTTTCTTGTCACTCTGGCTCCTGAACAGAGAGCTGTCTGGTCATTTCTTCACTATCATTGTTGCTGGGCTGACATTGAGTTTGTCAAGTTCATTGTATGGTATGGTTGGCCAAGGAACAAGGACACTTTTGTTTCCAGCAATGTTATATGTTTGGAGTGATATGAGGTGAAAATAAGAGACAGGGTGTGACCCACTAATTCTTGACATCAACAAAATGTAAAATAACAACCTATGCTGCTAGACCCATGTGGACTGAAGATTGAACATGTCAAATAATGGCAGCCTGTGATGATTGGACAAAAAGACATTTCTCTAGACTTTTACCCATAGTAATATACGTTAACAAATCCCACATGTCCGACCTAGTCCTATGTTAACATGTCCTATGTATGGATAGTCCTATGTTAACATATCCCTATGTATCGACCTAGTCCTATGTTAACATACCCTATGTATCGACCTAGTCCTATGTTATTCACATACCCTATGTATCGACCTAGTCCTATGTTAACATACCCTATGTATCGACCTAGTCCTATGTTAACATACCCTATGTATGGACCTAGTCCTATGTTAACATACCCTATGTATCGACCTAGTCCTATGTTAACATACCCTATGTATCGACCTAGTCCTATGTTAACATACCCTATGTATGGACCTAGTCCTATGTTAACATATCCCATGTATCGACCTAGTCCTATGTTAACATACCCTATGTATCGACCTAGTCCTATGTTAACATACCCTATGTATCGACCTAGTCCTATGTTAACATACCCTATGTATCGACCTAGTCCTATGTTAACATACCCTATGTATCGACCTAGTCCTATGTTAACATATCCCATGTATCGACCTAGTCCTATGTTAACATATCCCATGTATCGACCTAGTCCTATGTTAACATACCCTATGTATCGACCTAGTCCTATGTTAACATATCCTATGTATCGACCTAGTCCTATGTTAACATACCCTATGTATCGACCTAGTCCTATGTTAACATACCCTATGTATCGACCTAGTCCTATGTTAACATACCCTATGTATCGACCTAGTCCTATGTTAGTCCTATGTTAATACCCTATGTATCGACCTAGTCCTATGTTAACATATCCTATGTATCGACCTAGTCCTATGTTAACATACCCTATGTATCGACCTAGTCCTATGTTAACATATCCCATGTATCGACCTAGTCCTATGTTAACATACCCTATGTATGGACCTAGTCCTATGTTAACATATCCCATGTATCGACCTAGTCCTATGTTAACATATCCCATGTATCGACCTAGTCGTATGTTAACATACCCTATGTATTGACCTAGTCCTATGTTAACATATCCCATGTATCGACCTAGTCCTATGTTAACATATCCCATGTATCGACCTAGTCCTATGTTAACATATCCCATGTATCGACCTAGTCCTATGTTAGCATACCCTATGAATCAACCTAGTTCTATGTATCAACCTAGTCCTATATTAGCATACCCTACATGTCTGACCTGCTTCTGTGGGTTCCTTTATCAGGTGCTTGACACAAGTTAGGTTAAACCACACAGGGTAGGTAGCCTGGAATCTGTGGCCTGGATGTATGGAGTTTATATACAAATGATAAGTGTATGTACAGTATGTATCACAGAACAGTTTTACAGTTTTGCCAATCCTTGAAATGGTGTTCTTGTATATCATCCCATATTTTGGAAATATTTTTTGTGAGTTTTGCAAGACTACTTGATTTCCTAGAATCTGAAAACCTGGAAATGACAATACAGCCAAACAGACTATGCCCTGTGCAAATCTGTTAACATAGCAGATATGAACTGGCCTGCCTGACATATTGTGAGTGAGTGAGTGACAGAGCTCCAGATAAGATTTAGCTAATGTGGGTACTGTACCCACTGTATTGTTTTGGAGTGGGTATTATGAATGTTGAGTGGGTATTTCATTTTCCGTTACCCACTGCTTTCAAATATGTGCGTATTTCAGTCATTTTACACACCTAAGTATTGTGTCATTGAGTAAGTTTACTAAACAGGTATGTTCTGCCTTATGTCATACCTAATCAAAACCAACTTAAATATAAGTGATTTCATAAAAATGAAATGATTTCATAAAAAATCAGTCATCCTATACTGACAGTACAACACTTGTCCTATACTAACAGTACAACTTGATAGCAATCGATGTCTTTTTCATTATGCAAGCGATTTTTATAAGTATATTCCATACGCATTTGTTTTAAACTCTTTGCGTATCTAACATTTTCAATGCGTAATTGGTACGCAACAATTATTTTTCAATGCGTAATTGGAAATTTTCTATGCGTATTTTACCCGGATACGCAGCTTATCTGGGCCTCTGGAGTGAGTTGGATTTTAAGCTGCTTTTAGCAATATTCCAGCAATAAAACGGCGGGGGACACCAGAAACGGGCTTGTACCCATGTGGGGAATCAAACCTAGGTCTTCGGCGTGATGAGCGAACACTAAAGCTAACTGCCCCTGACTTGAATGTGCGAGTCAGTTTGAAGGTGAATCACTGCACATGACTGTACAGTTGGCTACTGCCTGTAGTATATGAGGGGACATCCAGCATATAGTCACAATCTCACTAGCTGGCCCTCTAGCAGGGTTTCTTAGTCACCCTGTTTCCAGGGCAACCTGGACTGAAGCTGGTTATGTCAGAACAAGGAAAGGTGTGCATGTTGTAAATGTAACTCGCATGTTATCTTTTGTGATTTGACCATCAGATTAAAACTTGGATATTTTGCACACACATGTTTGAAAATGACAAATTGATGTCCCATTTGTCCAGATGTTAAAACTTAAACAACAGATTATTTGTCTCACAGCACATAGTGGATGCTCTCACAGCACATAGTGGATGCTGTCTTGTGACTGTGGCTGTATTGGTGATGTATGTAATTGTGAGTGTCAGATTGTCATTTAATGGTAAATCCTGGCTTTAGGCTGTGAGTGGAAGCTGACAGAGCTGTCAACAGGCTCACAGTCACTGCTGATCCTGATAGACTCAGTTTCCAAACCAGAGATCCAGTTTCTTGCAACATGACCAGAGCTGTTGTCAGCTCTATACAGTCCTAATCCTACCATCAGCCAGCAATAGAAGCATCTTTGTCAGCGTGACCGCCTACAAGTGTGTACACGGCAGCAGTGTCTGTGCTTACTGACCCCTGTCAATATTCAACCTTTCATGTCTATCTCCAACTCATACCATCACTTATTGACCTGTAGTAGTTTACCATACAGTCACATGACCTAGTCTACCATGCAGTCACATGACCTAGTCTACCATACTACCTAGTCTACCATACAGTCACATGACCTAGTCTACCATACAGTCACATGACCTATAGTGGTCTACCATACAGTCACATGAACTATAGTGGTCTACCATACAGTCACATGACCTATAGTAGTCTACCATACAGTCACATGACCTATAGTGGTCTACCATACAGTCACATGACCTATAGTAGTCTACCATACAGTCACATGACCTATAGTAGTCTACCATACAGTCACATGACCTATAGTGGTCTACCATACAGTCACATGACCTATAGTGGTCTACCATACAGTCACATGACCTATAGAAGTCTACCATACAGTCACATGACCTATAGTAGTCTACCATACAGTCACATGACCTATAGTGGTCTACCATACAGTCACATGACCTATAGTGGTCTACCATACAGTCACATGACCTATAGTGGTCTACCATACAGTCACATGACCTATAGTAGTCTACCATACAGTCACATGACCTATAGTAGTACCATACAGTCACATGACCTAGTATACCATACAGTCACATGACCTATAGTAGTCTACCATACAGTCACATGACCTATAGTGGTCTACCATACAGTCACATGACCTATAGTGGTCTACCATACAGTCACATGACCTATAGTGCTGTTCCTGGAAAGACTGTTGCGGTACCTATCATCTGCTGGTAACATGCAGCTTCTGGCCCCCCTTTCCTATGTGCCACCCACCTCATGACGAACTCACCTCCGCCTGTCTCACATCCTAACCTTTACCTTTCTTGTATGATACACCCACTTTCACATTTACACCACAGCATGTGCTTACCTTCAGGTAACCACTGTACTTTAACATGGAATCATATTAACACGTACGAAAGTGAATTGATTTATTTTCTGCAGCATGGTTTGCTTCATGAAGATGCATCCTCCTCCCTGACCTGTGGCCTAATCTGCCCAGGAATCACTTACCACTGCAGGCAGGCAGGCAGGCAGGCAGTACAGGGAAATACCCAGGCCTGCCTTTGTAGTTACCTTTTTACTTTTCTTCCTTGGTGGGCCAGAGGGAAGGCTTGACACACTTCACAAGAAACAGGTTCAACATTGGTCTTAATCTCTAGTCCATACTCTCCATGAAAAGGCTGTTGTTTTATGACTTTTGCTTTTTATGGTCTGCAGTGTACTGTGAGAAACAAGACCAGTTGCTGCCCGAGTTGTGGACTCCCGTTACAATCCAGTGTACTGTGAGAAACAAGACCAGTTGCTGCTCGAGTTGTGGACTCCCGTTACAATCCAGTGCATCTGCTATGCTCTGATGTCTGAGATAAATTGAACACTTGATCTAGACTAAAGCTTGTCTAGACTCTTCCATCGCTCCTTTGATTAGAGATTTAACTTTGTTAAATATTGCTCACTGTGAGCTGGAGTTTAATGAAGAGGTTGTTGCCTGTGTTCTGGTCTCCAGGTTGTGCAGCCAGCCTCCTCCACATGCAGGCTCGGTCAGCTTGCTCCGTACCTCACAACCTATTCATTTGGATCTCAGTGTAGAGTCATAAGGGAGGGATTGGCTTGTCATGCTTCGACTGCTCTTCAGGTAGAATAATCTTTTGACCATCTTCACTTCATACTAGGCCTCCCAGAGGGATAGCAAACATTGTACACTTCA